GGACGATTACGGTACATTCACGATGCTGCCAGTGAACGTGTGAACGCTTTAAAAGGGGAATGGAGTTCCCTCGGACGAAGCAACAGTATCGATTACCACGCGAATGGCACCTGTTGCTTTGCTTTCGCGGACCGAGGGGTTAATGCGAACATGATTACCATAGACCGACCACCATTAGAACCGTCGCCACTTGTCGGCCACTTATCCTCTCCTCTTGTTTCACGGGTTACTTTATCTTCACGCTTTCTTTCCTTATTTTGCCGCGAGGCTCTTTCAATTTCGGTTACTGTCGAATTTTCTTAAAATTCCAGTAGTTACGAAATGAAACAGCAAAGTGGCCGAATCTTCAGGATTTCGTTTTCATAATTTGATCATAGTTTCAGTCAATGGGAACAATCGTGAATCACTTCCTGTCTTTTAACAAGGGAAGATTAATCGATAGGCTGTAAATTCAAAAGAACATTTTCGTTTAACTGAGAGTTAATCTTGACAATTTTTATTTCGCATAAAGCTTCGGTCGCATAAAGTCAGAGATCCGGTCCTAAATTAGGAAGATTATCAACGATATCGACGTCTTTAGGAATTCATTATTTCCATACCTCGGCGGTAATGAATAACCGGCGAGTAATGACATTAAAAGGTATGGAAATGTATGCTCCGCGTCGCTTTCATATAATGAGCCGGTGCCGTACCCAAACCGGCACAAGTAAATAACGTGTAAATATTATAAAATTGCTAGGACAATGGCGAGCGGCCGTTATTGCCCGCGCATTGTCCTTGCAGAGACGGCCAATTAACGGACACGTCCTGTTTGCGGGTCTCATCCGAAATAAAATTACCGGGAACAGTTTAATTAGCAGCTACGGGTAGACGGCGACGTTCGAGATCGATAACTTAGAATCTATGAATATTTTATAGGTCTCCCGTTCCATTTTCATTGCGAAATCGTTTACTGTTCGGGGGCGAAATGTCAAGAGCCCTCGAACTTGCCTGCTCAAAAAGTGCCGAAATAGCGGCACTTGTACTTGGGGACATCGAGACTTTAAAACAATGTCAACAGTTTGATTCAAGGATAAATTAATAATAAAAGCCGGATCTTCTATTCGAGAACTGCGCGACAATAGAGTCTTATTCTACAGGACTGTAGCTCTAATCGAGACGAAATGTTATTCGTCTGTCGTCAAAATAAAGAGATCATTTAATTATCGAAAGTCCGCCAACTTTAAAATTTCCTTGCCCAGATTTCTGCCGGGTGTTCGAAAGGGCTGTTTTATTTCCCCGGGGCACAATGTCGAGTATCTGCTTCAGAAAGTATTATTCTATTAATGCTGTCGTATATTTAGGGAGTTTTCCGAGTCAGTGACGCCTGCCAAGAAAAAAGGGGCGGATAAAGACGGGCCTATTGGATTTCAACCCCGGATTTCCGGTTGACAGCCCATGGTTCCGCGGACCACCCCATATTTAACCGGAACGTTGACATTGAGTATACCGAAATTCGTTCCGGGAACAAATCTAACTACTTTCACGACCTCACGGTGTCGCTATAATTAACGAAAATGCTACCTTTGATAAGTCGCCGCGTTGCACAGCGTACGCTACACTCTGCGAGGCCATTCCAAAACGAAACGCAAGTTGAAGTTTCTTGAACCGTACGGAATGAATTTGAATTTGAAATTCGTAACTTGATCCGTGATAATTCGATTCGTAATTTGATTCGTGATTTGATATCAATTCGAATTCGTAAAAAACATTTTAGCCTCAGATTCCCGCACTGTTTTTTTTCATGTAAAGGGATCCCGCAGAAATTTATTAACGGGGGCGCGAAAGCGGAGGCTTCGCTGTTCGGTCTCGAATCAGCGTCGTGCGATTGTACTTCGTTAATTATCATTGATTGGAGCGATCGCATCATCGAGTTCCAGTTATTAATTTTCAATAAACTTTCGATTTCGTTCTATGAGCAGCAGGAGTTCATTTTGCGACCAGTGCCACAAGACAGTACGGAAATTGAATGAAAGGTGGCGACAAAGTATCGAATCACAGTAACTAGAGAAATGATTTATCGAGTTTGCGCGATCCTCGTTGACCTCAATTTTAATCTGCGTCACATAACCGTGTCTCATGAATATTTAAAGTCCCGTGATGGGAACATTGTCTTACCGATAATTCCTTTTTTTTTCTTTTTTTCTTTTACCTCCGACTATGAATTATTCATCCGGAGTCACCGGTACCGAGTTTATAGTAGTTTCCTATGCCGAACGCGCCCCTTTAACGTATCGCCCACGTGTTTGCGTTTCCGTGTATCGTGAATTAAGGGTATCGCGTGAAACTGTCGCAATAGCTTGTCACCGACGTCGCGTCGCACAGTGGTTCACGTTCCGCGGGGAGGTGCGGTTTTTATTACTTTCTTTTAAAATACCAAGTTTTCTTCGCTTTCTAGCCTTTTATTTACGTTTGTGTGTTCAGCGCAATTATTATTATTATTATTATTATTATTATTATTATTATTATTATTATTATTATTATTATTATATAGCGCTATTATTAAACGTTACTGTAGCGTGTATCTTTTTAATTATTTTTTTTAATTTTTTCCAACTATCGTATATTAAATGGAGCCATTAATTAACGAACAAGCCCCATTTAAGCGTATTAAGTAAACAACTAGTCAACGATTGTATTTTCCTTAGCAGCGAATGTCCAACATTGCAAAAATAGGGCTTTGCCAGCTCTCGAACCACTGTGCGAACCAGAATTTTACTTTCGCAAGCTTTTTCTTAGCGACGACGACGAACCGGCGACCATAATCACTGTAATTGTTAGCTATCGTTCGTCAAATATCTCAAACAACTCAGCTTCGATTTATCGAGTTGGAAATTCCTTTTGTACTTTCGATCGTTCCACTTCCTCGACCTTTCCTGAAATTTCGAACCGATATCCAAATTCTTTTAGTATAGGATCCACTGTTTTGGATTGTAAAATCGCTCGACCTACGAACTCGACCTTCGAGATTCCAGATTTTAATAAATTCGAATGCATTAATACGCTTGGAGAAAATTCTTTTTAATTCTCGTAGAACGATTCGTTCTGAGTAACAAGGGGACACTGAAAAAATAGGTCAATGGTGATGTCAAAGAGGTCACTGATCGCTGAATATTCAAGAAATGCCGACTACTAAATAGAACTATTAATACTGAAGAAAAGGACACGATCTTCGAACAGGATAAAAATTCTGTTTAAACCGTGCGCAAGAAATCAATGTAGTCAAACTCCCCCGCAGTGGAATTGCAAATACTCTGCAGCTCCAGTAGTAAACACTGGATTAAGCCAGACGATGGTGCAGCGTGAGCAATTCGGGTTCTCTTCTCGGTCATGCTAACGCCCAAGATCTCATCCCGCGATTATTAGACGCGCCGGCAAATGATTCGACGCAGTTCACGAATTAATATTAATCAATTCAAATAGAACACGTTGCTTCGTCTTCGGTTACATTCTTCGTCGAATGAATACGATCACAATAAATTTCCTTACACCATTTTTCGAGCGCATAAACACCACGTCAGTCAGGTAAGACGTCAATAAAATGCCAAGCGTCAACTAAGAGCGCCGCCAACTGCAAATTGCCAGTCAGTCTTCCTATTTTCAGTCTTTGACCGTAGCAACAATAATAGAGTCCACGCGGATACACAATTTTTCTAGGTCGGGGATACCATTTTTATTCCATGTACCGGAAGAAATCGCAGAGCTCACGAAACCTGTGAACATACGATTCGAAGTCTTTCCTGTTGTTCCGTACGAATTAGCATAACACGAATGTCCGACGATTTACATACGTTTTATCAAAGTATCGGCGCGGCTTTCGCCGATGATCGACAACGAGCGTCGACGATCCGAACCGTTTCAATTAAGCCTGACCGTTTAGAGCGCGGGTACAGCAGCTGCGACGAACAATCTAATCCCGTTAATGGGCATTAGCCGTGTTCCTTAACAATCGGATTCCGGCGAGCACAGTTTCGCGCAGCTGCGGTGCGAAAACGTTCGGGGAATCGTGTTATCGGGACGACGCGACGCAAACACGTCCTTATCCGGCACGAAAAAAAAAACAAAAACAAAAGAAAAATAAAAGCATACGACGTTCTCGCTGTTCTCCCCGGTTTTCTTTCTGAACAAATTCGAGTAGTACACCCTCGTAGCACAATAAAGCGGCAGGAAAAGAAACCGTATATCTTAAGGAGTCGTTTCACAAGGAAAGCACTTTAATCTTCAAATTCTGGATATATAGTTGTATTTGCGAGAACGATATTTTTTGTCTTCGCAGACCCGCTTGAATCTGGAAAATTAACTCCTTTTGAAAGAAAGATTGGACTTCGATATACTGAACGGAAAAATATAATAATATAATTATTTAGATATATATAAATAACCTCTATTAATTATCTTTTTTATTATTGTTTTTATATATATATAATTATTATTAATATAATATATTGTTAAAATAATATTATTATATATATATTAGGCCTATCGGAAAGTTCTGTCGGCTTTTGAATTGAAATATAACACAATTTTCATACATTTAATAATATTTATTGTAGAATATACTTTCCATTGTTACTTATGACTTCTTGCCAGCGTGATGGCAACTTGTAAATGCCATTTTTAAAAAATGATTTATTTTTTGAGGCGAAGAACTCGACTAGTGCTTGGTTGACATCAGCTTCAGTTTTGAATTTTTGTTCCTGTAAAAAGTTTTGCAAAGAGAGAAACAAGTGATAATCGGAGGGTGCTAGGTCCGGGGAGTACGGTGGATGCGACAGAATTTCCCAGCCTAGCTCTGCGATTTTCTGACGAGTCGCCAAAGCAGCATGTGGTCTGGCATTATCATCGGTAGCCATGTTTTCACGATCGCGTCTCGCTTAATAATGATATGAGACATCTTTGTTTCAGTTTATTTAGGAGAGTACATGTGTGTAAATGCAATGATAAAGAGAGATAGTCATATATGTCTCAAATCAACATGTGCATATGGAATGAAACTTGAATTGACATTATCGGACAGAACTTTCCGGTAGACCTAATATATATGTATAATAATAACAATAACAATAAAAAAGATAATTAATAGAGGTTATTTTATTTAAATAATAGAGACGATTGCTGAACAAATTAAAACGAACGACTACGCCCTTTGAAATGAGCCAACCTACACTCTCCTCCGCGATCTTTTATCGAAGTTCCAATAAGTCAGACCACGACAGTTTTCCATCCGAGATTTATCCCACATCTGCTGGATAAATCTGCCTACATCCGATCGTCGGCGTACAATAACCCACAAGAATTGGCATCAAAGCGACCTCCGATCTGGCGGATTCACGAAATCCGAAACGGAGCGTATTTTCGTATAAGCTTTCGGTTCGATCGAACATTTACGCTTTCGCTTATGCGAAGCGCGTATGCCGCACGTAAAAACGATCGTTTGGTAATCGCGACCCCTCGGACGTGTCGTTCCAATTCCGGATCACGAACGATACCAGTCTCTTGTATCCGACGGCAACGCAATGAAACTTCTCCTTTTCTGGAACCGGGAGTGTCGGACAATATTTCTCGAAAGTGTCGCAACGTTCACTTTTCGTTCTTCCGGCATCGTTGCGAGGACCTTCGATGACGCCAGGTTGCGACAGCTAGGATAACCGTGGGGATCGCGCGGTCTTGTTCCTGACTCGCGCGGAGAACCGTTTCAGAATTCGTTCCGTCTTTAAAATTATTCCCACCCGTCCGTTAAATAATATTTCATTCGTTTACTTAAGAACTGTCCCGATCTCTGATCATTTAAATATCGCGGCAGCGGGAAAGCGCGGCGGAGTTTCCCGCGCGTTCTCTCCCGCGGAGAATTTCCAGCCGCGGAAGATGTTTTGTTTCCGTCGATGGAAAAATACTCACCGGAACGGTAGCCTCTTCTCAGCGGTGCCGAGCTCGCGACGAGCGATTGAAAAGTCGTTTCCTGCAAGTCGGTGGAACGCGTGCCGAACAAGTCGGCGCTCATCTGATCCAGCATCGTCTGGAGAAGATCCTGGAAACTCGGCGTCTGTTCAAGCAGGCTGCGGGGGTGGCAGCGCGGGCCTGGGGTCCACCCACGATGTCTTCCGGCCGCTTTCTCTGCCCGAGAACGCTGTCGGCCGATCAGGGGCTGGAAATCACAATGCCCTAAACAGTCCCTCGATTATACTTCGAGAACTTCGGGCGGTCAGCTGACGCCTGGACGTTGAGGAAACTTGAAAGACCGACGCCGACAAGCCTGGCGGGAAATCGACTTTTTGAGATAGCGAATGGATTATAAATATTTTTATCTTCTCACGTGATACGGGATTTGGCGAAGAATTGTTTCTTGATATAGTTGTCACGTATGGAAATTGCATTTCGAGTATGATACAACTGTGCAATATCTACGATTTTCAAGAAATGTTTAATTGCCAAATTTCGCATTACATGAGATGATAACAATAATTATAGTTTATTTACTATTTCGGAAAGTTATTTTCCCCAATCCTGGACGCCGAAGGCTCGCGCGCGCTGCTGAGCGTTTATTAAATAACGGATGATCGTTAACGCTAGATTTGCGGAGCACAAAATACAGCTGTTTTACATTAGTTTACAAAAGCAACAATAAGACATTTGTTCTGATTTTTAACAAGTGTCATTGTAATATTTGCCGCAAACAACGCATGCATTGAATAAACAACTCGCGATACGAATAATCGAAAATTAAAAAGATAGTGACCCGCCATTTTGACGGGTTCCGTAAATCTAGTGCTAATTTGATCTAGATGAGTTGATGATCTTGAATCTTCAATTGATCTTCGATGAGAGAATTTAGTATCGCGTTAATAAGTACACGGCGGTTCTTTATGCAGAAAAAAAACATTGTTCAACAAGCTTGCGTGAAATGGAAATGTTTCGTCTCAATAATTTTGATAAGTTGAAAGCGGTATAAAAATATTATTGAATTCTTCATACGTTTTCGTAATTTCATATTTCAATTATACAGGGTGTCCCAGGTTTTAATGTTCAAACTTTGTCAGTGTATTCTATGGCACGAAGTAAGAAAAAAATGTTATGTAAACATAGGTCATACAGAGCTTCATTAAGTAGTTGGAACAAAAATTCAGAATATAGGAATAGTAATCAACTTGCTGTTACTGCGAGCATTGCCTTGAATAGATCAGCACATGCCGTGTGTTTACGTAAGCTGTGTTTATTAATACAATACATGATTGACATCGATCGAAGATTCTTTTTTATTTTTTATTTTTTTTTTAGTTGATAGATTCCTAGTCTGAATTTTTGTTATAACTTCTTCATAAAGCTCTATATGACCCATGTTTACATAACATTATTTTCTTACTTTGTGCCATAGAATATACTGACAAAGTTTGAACATTAAAACCTGGGACACCCTGTATATGCCATAAATGCGTGAAATCGGCAGTCTACTAATAAGTATCTTTGTAATCCATTTGTCAGAACGAGCCTAGTGCTGATCGAGTCGCGTCAAATTAATAAGCTTGTATTGCACGAATGATCTCCGACCATTCTATCTACCGACTACGAACATTTTCTGACTTGCAAGCCCCTTCTCCAAGATATAATTGTTTGTCTCCTTTGGGTATATATTATTTCTAATCTCCTCCTCAGTATCGTACATCTTCCCCCGGATATTGAAACTATAGACCGAAAGCACGGGGAAGAAAATCCCTAGAACCAGCAATTCCAGCACCCTCCAGTTCCCCCTCGGCGCCCGCCGGTGGGCGGTAGCGCCTACGTTAGGAAATTACGGCTCGCCGGAACACGTCCCATGTTCTTCCCAGCGTCTTCTACTTTGATTAATAGAATTCGGTTTGCACATCCAATCGCGGGGCTCGACAACGCCTGCTTTCTAATAATACCAGCAACACGGATCTAGCAAAGAGAATTCCGGGCAAAGAAGAAAGCGATCGGCGCCCGCGACGTTGACACAACCGCAGAAAATAACGTTGCAACATTTTCTGGAGGGTGAGGAGCAGAAGGACGAAAGGGATTTCGAAGGGTCAAACATGAAATTAGCATCGGCGGAGGGACGGAAAGAAATATTTTCAGGCATTTATGCGGCACGGGTTGACCGTGGGAGGACAGTCCGAAAAAATTGGGGTTGAACGCGGATCCTGTATGCCTCCCCGCCGGTCTGCTGCGAAACCAACCCTCCCATATGTTTGACTTTCAAAGAGTTTATACCGGAGGCCCGACGGGACACGTGTCCGCCTCGGTCGAACATTAAAATCGCGGCGGAATTCTCTGGCTCGCGCGGGTTCGACGATAGCGCGTTGATTTTTGCGAAAACAGAAATACGTCTCGTTTCGCGAAGGATCGGACGGCGCATTTATGCACGCGAAACGTATTTGAATTTTGTCGGTTTTGTGCCGCGCTGTCGTCAAAGCGATGAAAGTTCTACCCGACAGTCGCGCGTGTTTGACTTCGAAAGGGAGTCGCGACTCTACAGTTTTCCTCCGTTAGTATTCTCGTTTTTAGCCGATTTTTGACATCGTCGAGTCGCCGCAAAATCGCGATTCGTGCTGCGTTCGGGAGTCGAATCGCACTTCGACGAAGAGGCACAAGCAATAACACGATAGAAGAACGTGGATAAACAGCGACGAGACGGTATCCGAACCGAATAATCGCCCAATGTTAGAGAACGATGCGACAGGCCGTTTTGTGTGGAGGTCACGGGCGGTTCTCTGGCATTTAAAAGTTTAATTAATAGAATTCCGAGTCGGGGCTTCGCGTCACCGCTATTTATTCGAACCTGCGCCCACAACAATCACGTCGGTGTTCCCGTTTACTTTCGAAGAAGCCTGCTCTTAGAAAACACGTCTCATATTTTTGCAGTTAATAGCATCTCCGAGGGTCCGAACTCGCGCAAAGAAACGCCAAAGAAACGTCTCTTCTCCTTTTAACCTTTTAACTGCGGAATTTAGTTCTGAAAAAAAGACCCGCAGAGTGCGGAATTAAAATCAGGCAACGGACGGGTATAGACGTCGAACGCAGAGCAAACGGTCCTATTGTAAATTTTACGAGAAACGAGGAGGGATTACGTTTTTGTTCGATGAAAAATTAACGATTCATTCTTGAAAAGGTTACTGTTATCGAACGCTTGAAAATCGTCAAAAAAAAAAATGAAATTCATGAACGAGAGAAATGAAAGAAGAAACATAATTTTAAGAAATTCTATCGATTTCAGCGCGATAGTTTAAAAAGCAAGGTACTGCAAGAAGTGGCACTTCGCAGGTTGTACGTTGTTATCGTGGACTCCTTACGGATTCCATTTCTGAAGCAATTCCATCGCAAATCAACGCTCGGGGCCCCCTCAGGGGCCCGAGTCCCTCTCCACCGCATTGGTAATAGGAAGGAAATATATCGCCAAATAGATATTCTTGTTACATTTTATTGAAATTTCGACTCTTTTTATAGCCAATGGTAATCTTTTATTTCAACTGCAACGCAGTAGAGATTTGTGTGTGTGTGTGTGTGGGTAGACGTGTATACACGTTGAACGCAGTTAACTGGTTACAGTAATTTCTACCTAATTGGCGTTCAGATTGCGCACAAAAATGGACAACTTGGGAAGAGGAGATTATAGTTACCGAGAAATTTATAGTTATCGATTGTCAACAACTATCAAAAAGGGACTCGAACAATCGTATCTCCTCTTCCTAAATCGTCCATATTCGTGCCCAATCTGAGCGCGAATTAGGAAGAAATTATTGTAAATAGCGTCGAGGTCGTTTCGACGCAGCATTTCGCAGTATAGCGCGTCCCAGAAAATAATATTTTCATGGTATATTACCGATGGATCGCGAGAACCTCCCCGTCGCGATCGCTGCAGCTTCGATCGAACCGCCTGAGACGTCTCTCCGCAAACTTTCCCGGCTGTTAATCCATGATGATTCGAATCGCAACAACTTTCCTCGGGTTCGCGTCGAAATACAGTTCCGGTGGTGTAAATTCTCGATCGATTTCTCTATCGCACGATTCTAGTTGCACGATCGAACGGACCGCATCGACACTGAGGACGGTGGCCCGGAACCTCTATGCTATGTAAAATGCGATGGTCACGTGACGGATCTACCTCCCGAATCGAAATTTGATCCGTAGGTCAATTAATTCCGCATTCGATCCGCATTCGATTAAAACGAAGATCGTTGCATAATGGACAGTCGAACAATTTCTTGTAGACGGCTGCCATTTTCTTATCCCTCCCTTCGTTGAAATTTCTTCGCCGCCGGGCGTTCGGGAATATATAATAAATAAATATTTATTAATTTAATAATATTTATAATAATTTTATATAATAAAAATTCGGACTATAATCATAGCTTCTAAACCAATTAATTTTCGGCCCAAGTACGTTAATCATTTTTTAAAGGGAATACAAAGACGAATCGATCTGTACACGAATAATGTACGGTTATTTAAAAAAAATTGCAACGATTTTGATTTTTCGTCGAATAAAGAAAATCTTTTGTCAACATTAAGTATTGCAATCTTTTAGAAACTATGTAACGACTAACTTTCGTTCGAAACATTTTTTATTGCGAATTACTGGATGTTGGGTAACACATATTTTAGCACACAAAAGTGTGGTAACTGAACCAAATGACTTGAATCTTTTTTTTAGACGACAGAGGGACTAGTCTACTAGATGATGGCTAGAAAGCTTTTTTTTTTAATTTTGCCATTACTTGGAATGAAAAGAAAAAATTAAGAACCTTCGTTTTTCAACTTTTTTATCTGAGCCTATAACGAAAATTTAAAAAATACCTTTTGTAGATCTCGGTGACTTATATGCGTACTGAAAATTTGATCGAAATCGGTTAACTCAAAGTCGAGCTGCGGGCGTTGAAGGATTTTAAAAACTGTAGATTTCTTGCAGTTTTTGGTGAAAATCGTGATCAAACTGCGATTTCTGCGATCTTTAATTTGTTGTAACTCGTAACAACGTGAACCGATTTCGATGAAACTTTCAACACGCATATAAGTTACCGAGATCTACGAGAGGCATTTATTAAATTTTCGCTATAGGCTAAGATGAAAAAAGTTAAAAAACGAGAGATTCTTATTTTGTTCGTTTTTGTTTATGTTCTAATTATAGAACAGTTACTTAATTACAGTGCTAGATTCCATCATTATCGAAGGGCACAGTAAATCGTTTTGCATACGAATTGTCTGGAATTGAGCCGATTATATGCGAAATGTATTTGGACAACCGAGGAATTCCGAGGACCGGACAATCGAGGTTCTGCCGTATTAAAAATTAGCGTATGGTAGCATAAAAGTAGAAACTCCGAGCATCGATTTAAATACCAAATCATGATTTTACGGCAGTTTTTGCGGGAGCTGCGGCTGACCGAAGCAACGACAATTTTTCGGTCAAAAATTACCGACCCTTCAATTTCGCTGCCGAGTCTGTCGTTCGCCAAGGGGTTAAGCCGGACTTCGTGTAACGAAGGAAACAAGGAACGCCGGGATCTGTCATCGATCGAACGAGCTCGTGAAAAACTTGTTGGCCTAGGTCCGATGAATTTTTCAGCGTCAGAATCGTCCCTTCTCCCTCGAAGTTATCGCGTAAAACAAACCACCCCCAAGGGGCGCCGGCATTGATGTAATTTTCGTGAAACGATTAAGTTTGTGGCGGATCTTGAGAAGTCGTTTCGCATGGAAACAGTCCCTTGGTATCAAGGGAGCCGGGACTTCGCCTCGGTGTTTTTGCTTCGACAGTTCTGCTCCTTTGATTCCTGCCGCGCCTCGGCCATCTAATACACCGGAAAATTGTGGAAAGAGTATTCGCAGTGACACGCGTTCCGATAACTTAACCGCGATCGCGATATTTCCAATTTATTTCTTCAACTTCGCGGGACCAGCATTGAAAGTTTAGCAGAGGCCACGGTGGAAGGCGTTGTGGATCGCTAAAAATTGGGCAACAGGGACTAATATTTGGTAATTCGATAAATGAATCGCCGGCGTGTCGATCGCGATGCACAGCATAGCTGCACGCGCGACCGAGAGATTTTCGTGGCCGTCCGCGGCTTCGTCGGCGTAAAAAAAAACGTCCGTCCCCTATCATTTTTCCTGTGTTTGCCCATTCCAGTTTTATGGCGCCACGTTTCGCCCCTATTTCCGCTCATTAATCGCCTCGTGTATCATTCAATCAGCGATTCGCTGTATACTCGCCGCCTCTCGATCTCTCGTTTGTCCGCTCGATTAGGAGCCGATATAATATTCGAACGATATCTTAATGTCCCAATCCAATATTCTCGGTCTCTATATATCACGCGATTTTTATTAGCCCTTCCTCGATCCTTGGACCGTATCATCGAGATCGTTCGGCCAAGATTTTGGTGCTTCGCCAGAGGGGAGCGTAAACACGAACGACTCCGCAGGATCGTTTCCCCGTTCCTTTTATCGTCGGACCTTTTTGCTTCACGATTATTTCGTCCCCGCCATTGGTCGGCTCACTTTTGCAAAGAATCAGAACGATTCCCCTCGAGTTTTCCACGGGTTTCCGCCTTTTTTCTTTTTGTTTTCGAAATCCGACTTTTCAGCGAATCGTCGCGTTTCTGACGAGCCGAACGTTCGCTGCTTTTACCTTGAAGCTTTCAGCGGAGTTTTAAAGCGTTATCCCTGCATTCATAGGAAGAATGCATCGATGACATTATAGAACAGCGAACAAATTAGAAGACATCGGAAACGTTGATACGTTCATCGCAACATGTTCGAATTATTTACGAGAGAAACCAGCTCGCAGTTGGCTGCTGAGTCTTGCAGACGATCGATGCAGACAATTTTTATTTCGCACAAAGACCTCCGTCCCGGTAACTACGATTGCATCTCCATAGACCTTGTCGCAAACGAACAGTTCGCTTTATTCGGCGAACTGAAAACTCATAACATGCGCCGAAGGTGATCCCGCGTTATTATTTCAAGTCGCTGTGCGCGTGCCACATCATTAATTCAAGCGTAAAAATGAATGCTGCAGGATCAGAGCTGCTCTATATTTCAGCGACGGTGAGGGAAAAAAACGGATTTTCTTTTTCGACCCGGGAGGAATGGAAAAACATGCGAGGGACCGCGATTAGGAAACATTTAAACATTAAATCGCGCGAACTCGCGCGCGAAGCACGCGGGACGATCTCGCAATAAAAACTGCCGGATTTCCCGGGGGCGTATGCCCAAAAACGAGGATCGACACGTATCTCTTCTCAATATTTTTCTCTCGCTTTTTGCCCCGAACCGGAGATAACGTTTTTCCCGTTCGTTTTCCACCGCCCTTTCTTTTAATAATAATTAATGACATTCTACGTCAGACGGCGAACATTCCCCGGAGCTTAATGTTTGCTTCATTTTTATGAATCTATTATTTACTGCTGCCTTGTAGAACAACAACAATATTCTCCGCTTCGTCGAGGCCTTTGACGAAGAAATTGCTCGACGAAGAAATGTTCCAGTTAAATAAGCCGTTGTCGATAACTTGCGAAAAGGAATCTGTCGCTTCTGAAAACCGTCGCTGCAAAACCGTCGCAGATTTTTAATCGTCCTGTTACGGCCCTCGTCGTCGTAAAATTATCGCGGACGTGAACTGGCCGGGCTTCGAACGGTTCTCGCGATCCGGGAGGATCGGTGTTGAAGTTCTTGCGATGCTAACTGCTACTCGGCGAACCTCGTTAGCTCGCCAACGGCCGCGCCAGTACCAAGAACCTTGACTGCAGATCTAAAAGACCTCGAAGAACTTCGAAAAAGCCGGATCGCTGCCGAGAGGTCTTCGCGGTGCTCGAGAGAGAATAGCATTAAAGATCCGCTGCGTTTTACAGTTCTCCGGGAACCATTGCACCCGCGAAACGACTTCCGCGAGCTCCTCTCTCAAAAACCCTCATCGATCACCGCACGATGAAGGCTATGAAGCGCTCTATTATCAGCGAATTCAGCCAACATAATCGACCAATACGGAACGAGGCTCGATAAAAATACAAACGAACTTTGGCACTGGAGAAACATTTCACCCTTTCGTTAACTATCGTTCGCATTTAGAAATTTCACTGTTGGACCTTAATGCTCTTTCCTAACGGTTTCGCTGCGTATCTTCATTATCAATATGTTTGATCAAACAAAACGTAGTTTCTTTAGGAATCGTTAAAGGAATCGTTAGATACGTCGCTCGTGCGGAGACAACAGTGCTTTTGATTTTCATTGGTTTCATCCGGAAAATACCAACAGTTCGAATTACGATATCTTTCATTAACAATTCAAAATGACGGTAATATGAGACAAGCCGAAACAAAAATTGTTTCCTTCATACGGGAGCAAATTTACGTGTCTGGAATTTGTAATAGTTTTTCCAATCCGTTCTTTTCGAGGACGATCTGTTTGAAATTTTTCTGAAAAAGTGTAATTAATTATATATGTTATAATAAATATATATTGTGATAATAATTATATATATTATAGTAATAATTATATATATAATTATTACATATAATGTAATTATAATGTAAATACATAATAATGTAATTAATTAATTTCTATGTTAATAGAAAAATGGCCAGATCCACGAGTATAGTTTAAAATGTTAATTCGAGTCTGCTCAACCAAATCTGAAGTCGCAAAGATCGGATCGATATTAAATTTACTGTGCAAAATCATAAATAAACTATCCGGTTTAGAGCATTAACAAATAACTAAATAAATCGACGTGCATCCCGGTTACGGGACCAAAGAAAATCGCGTCGAATCGGAGGTTTAATCAATTATTTTCAAATCGGGGGATTTCCAGATCAATTAGCTCTCCCTGACCTCCAGTCGGGAGCACTTTGAAAATCGTCTCCGGAGGTTACGTTAATCCGCGACCCTCTGAATCATTGAGTTCCCCGTGTAGCACGTTCCGTAAGTTCCGAGAGCCGCACCGTTAAAAATCTCGTTAGTGGGCGTCGCGACCCAAGAAGAAAGCGTCGGCGAACAGGGGCACGGAGGGGGTGAGTTGCGCAACGGTCCGCTTGGTGCCCCATGAAATTTTCATCGGACGTGTCACGGGAAAATTGAAAACGTACGTCAAACGAGGTCCGCGAAGAGGGTGTGATATGCGTGCGATTTCGCCTGGCCGGCCGCGGCCGCGGCCCGGCCGTCGGAGCGCGCATGGCCGGCCCGCGAACCGCTCGTATTTAAGGGCTGAACGATCGCGAATCTCGCCACTATCAGCCGTACCCTTGGATCTTATCGACGCCCCCGCAAACCGAAGCCAACCGTCACACACGCTCGACCGCGACCGGCAACGATCAAGTGACACTTACGTCGGAGTGACCGTCGAACACCCCGGTGACCGGCCATCAGCGACCACCCTCAGCGGTCGACAGCAACAGGAGCAGCAACGTTCACGGACACCTTGCCAGTTCGAGGATCGGGCAACAGGTTAGCGGTATCTCCTTATTTCCGATTGGTCGACGCGCGAAGCGCCAAGCCCGTGCTAAGCCGCGGCAAGGCGCGCCGCTCCGGGGGTGGAAAATCGTATTCGTATCGTCTGAATTATTTAAGGAACGGTTTACTGCGGCGATAGAATTTTCAAGCAGACTCTTTCCTGTCAGTGCAACAGGATTGTACGTCGCGGATTGTACTTCGGCCGAGGGCTTCGCGACGTGACGGCGATTTAAATTTTAGAGCAAGGGATGTTTTCTGATGCTCGCGATGGACGGTAATGTTTGCTGACGTTTCAAAGTAGATTCTCGCTGTTCTAAGGATGATCGCGAGGATTTTTCGGGTTACGTTAGAGCGGCACCAGGGTCTAGCTAGGGGTGTTTCTCGGAATATTGTCGTTGCGAGACGATTTTTATTGTTGGAGGGACGATCGCGATGATTTTCCGGACCGTGACAGCGGACCCCTCTTGAAATTTGTAGTCGGTGAACAATTTTTTACGTTACCGATCGAATGATGATGGGGTTGTAGAATAGGGGATGTTTCTTACTGTTGGAGCAAAAATTCAAACAATATCATTTAACCTCTGATTTTGTCAACAATTATCCGTTTCTGTAATAAATAAAACGTTTAGCTGTAATAGGTTAGTGGAGCCCGGTTATTGCGGGGTGACCGATTGCTGTGCCTTTGGTCTGTTTTCGGGCATGATTAAGTTTATATTTATCGAATGTAACATGCTAAATTTTTTTATTCAGAAATAAACAGAAATAAAACAGAAAAAGAATTTATTCTGATCTATTGGATAAATATAATATTAATCGTATAATAACTGGCTCAACTAATCTAGCTTTTACCAATTAGTAATGAAAAAATGAGCAATTTTGCAACATTTTCGATAGCGGGATATTATTTTTGAGTAGATATCTTTTATTTTTGTTTAGCGCATTTCTTCGATAAAAATGTTCTAGCATCGACCCGGCGGATCGCGTTTCCAACGTAAGAAAAAAACCAATCACGAGGCTCGATCTAGCTATCGTTAAGCTGCCTCAATCAATTCTTGTAATCTAAGTTTTAAATCGACTTGTTATTAGTATTCATTTAATTACTTGGAGCCGAGTTCTTCGCTGAACTTGTTTTACGATCTTTTTATATGTATAGTCCCGCGAAGTTTTATATTACGATACTTTCCCCCGTCGGATCTCATTCAATTTCCTTTTTCTTTTTCACGGGGCTTTTCTTTTTTTTCTCAGCCTGTTAATTATTTACGCAGTTGCAACAACTGTTTAACATTAATAACGCCGACGCGCGCGGCGAGGACAATTAATCATTCTAACTAATGTTCAGATAGAACGGCGAGCACAGTGTGCAGTTAGAAAAATCAATTAATCTTAATACGCCGAGCGTGTAACAAAGTTTTTCCTGCACTTTGCAGAACGTCCGATACGTTTTCATTTTATCGTCGCGTCGCCGTCAAACCCATTTTATTATTGCCAATGATTCCAGTTTATTTCGTTTACTCCCACCGATGGGAACCATTGGATTTTCGTATGCGTCGATTCGTATTTAATTGTTGCAGGCATCCGTGCTCCCATTTGTTTCATTCTTCACGCGTTCTCCAACGGAATACGATCGATCCTTACAATCTTTTTTTTCAATTCTTCCCTCTTTCAATCCTTTTGAAAGGATTAATAATAATCCCCACGAATAAATATGACATTTCGAGCTAACGAGGATGACCTGTTGATTCAGCGAAGCCTCCGTTGGCACTGAAAAATCATTAAGAAATTCTCGGAAGCAACAGATCGCAGTCTCAAAGCGATCCTTTTAACCCTTTGCACTCGATGCGATTTTAATTCCAAAACGATTATATTATTTCACGATTTATCGAGTACAGTAAATTCCCCCTAATTGACGCTCAGATTGTACAAAAAAAAAGAACAATTTGGGAAGAGACGATACTATTATTCAAACTTCGTCGCTCGTTTTTATAGTCGCCAATTGTTAACAATAATAAAATCGAGGCGCAAGACTCGATTAATCGTACCTCATCTTCCCAAATTGTTCATTTTTTAATAAAATCTGAACGTCAATTTGAGAGAATTTACTGTACAGACAAATTTAATAACGTGAAAGCTCTTTTGAGAATACTGTACCAATTTTTACCGTCGCCCCAGAGTCGCTACGCGAGCGCAAAGGGTTAACACGTTTCGTGTCACGTGTACCACCGATGATACACGGTTGCATGTTTATTTAATCCGCTAAAAAAAATAGTTTATAACAAATCTGGAACTGAAGAATTAATTTTCACTGCAAGAATGGATCGTAATAGGTTTGTTTTACTGTTGTATACAGGTAACTCTGCTATAACACGGTAATTAGGTTCCTAGAAAATGTCGTGTCGTGTGAAACACGACTTATTAAAAACAACTTTTTTTTTTCTTAATTCCATACATGCAACTTAACTTTCATTAAAAATATAAATGTGTGCATGACACCAAACGAAAAAAAAACAAAAAATATTATTTTCATTTAATGTTACTTTGATTTAGTAAATTTCTTCCTCGTCATTACTCGGTACAATCAAACGAGAATATTTTTTTCGGTTGAACGCGCGATATCACCCTTCACTTTCTGAACCTTCGTCTTCATTCAGATTTTTTGTACCTTCTATCCTCTTTAAAAAGTCTGTAGTTTTGCTGGTACTTACAAGATAATTGTAGATTTCACAGTATGAAGATAGATAATTTTGGAGCTCCCTTTTGAATTTTTGGCTTCTTTCAGCGGAGGAGTATACATTTATGTACTCTTAACACTAAATTTACGGAAAAGTGACGTCAAAATGACGGGTCATAAATTTTTTAATTTACGATTATTCGTATCCTAAAGATACATTTATAAATTATTTATTCAATTTATACGTTACTTACGGCAAATGTTACAACAACACTTGTTAAAAATCAGAATAAATGTCTTATTGTTACTTTTATAAACTACTGTAAAACAGCTATATTTTGTGCTCCGTAAATCTAGTGTTAATTATAACAATTATATTTTCATGTAAAGTTATTTCATGTTCGTTATATTCCTTCCTGTCATTATTTTAAGGTAATTTAGTTCTTAAATCTGTTAAACAAAAATCAAGTTATCCAGTGCTGTAGAAGTACAGCGTCGTACAAAGGTTCCCGCAATTTTACCTTATTAGAGCGAAACAGTGCCATATAGGTTGTAGTGTTATACCGCAATTTATCCATTGGCGTATACGATAATTAATAATTACAAATAATATATCAAGTTTTAGTAAAACATCAAATAGCCACAGCGCGGAGAGTAGACTAAAAACAGCCCGGCACGGAACGTGTTAAAACTGACTTCGGACGACTTGACGACTGACACGGACCTCTTAGATTGCGTCGGAAATACAGCAACAAATTGCAGAGACAAAGCGGGACCACGCGGAGAAGGATAAAACGAGATCGAGAGAAGCTGCGTTACCAAAACAAATGAACTCGACGGACGCGTCGACACCCGGCCAACCATAACGGTCATAAATCCCGATTTTCCTTGCGAAAAATTCAACCGGCTGAAATGGAAACGTTAGAGTCTCCGCGGAAAATTGTGAAATGCGCGCCCTGAAATGCAAAAGATTTTCCGACGGGACGGCACGACGGGAAACATTAATTCCGTCCGAGACACCTGCGGAATGTCTCGTTTTCCGCGAGACCTCCGGGACGATTCAGGGTCGGGGGGAGGCGTCGAGTCGCCTTCGAGACGGTTTCCGGTTGCGGAACGAAATTCCAATATATCTCTGGGCGCGACGACGTATCCCGGATCGGGACAACGGCGCGTCGGGAACAAGGGCGCGCCGACAGGACACGTATTTAATCAAAAGTTTTTAAACCACGGCTCCCGGGACACGACGGTCGCGGGGAAACCTCGACTGTTGCCGTCCGATGGCTCCGGCTAATATTCTCGCCGGCCATAAAATTCCCGCGACATTCCTTTTACGGTCTTGTAAATAATTACCGCCGGCTGCGCTGTTTGCTCCGGCGGGCTCTTCCTCGTTTACTTGATTAACTTCCTCTGCCCACGGATTTATTCAGGCCCATCGCGGCGCGGCGCGCCGGCACCGCCTGATTAAATTGCCCGCGAAATTTTTCAGCGGGCAATCCGCGTTCGGCGGATTCTTCAGTTTTCTTCTCTGTTCGACGTTCCATTTCTCGAGGTCCTGTACCGCAAAGTCGCGGACCAGCGAGAGGAACTTATCACGGCGTGCAGATTTCGCGAGCACAAAAGCCCGCCTACGCCGACCAGCGTGGGCGGATCCGCGAGCGATTATAATTTAGAAAATGTCGAAATATCGCAAGATTGCCAATATCGGTACGATTGTCGCAGAAATTCAGCAGAGTTCCGTCTTCTCGCGACTTCTCCAAAGTTCGCATCTGTTTTATTTTTCTCAAATATTGCGGCCCGCTTCTAAAAATAGCAGGATATTACGTTCATCGAACGCGCGAGGTGTTTTACGTCTACCGGAAGATTCTGTCCGATAATGTCATTTCACGTTTCAATCCGTGCGCGCGTGTTCATTTGAGACGCGTATTTTTCCAAAAAGTGACATTTGCAAATTACCGTCACGCGCGCAAGAGTGTAACGAGTAACGACGGAAAATGTATCGTATCGTACACAATGAATATTATTAATATAAATAGATAGAAATCCATTCGAATCGCGCAACAATTTTTCCGTTCGTTTGTTATTCGAGCACACTATTGATTGTTAAAATCGGACACGTGAGAACGCCGGCACATTAAACAATGCGTCTTACTGGCGCAATTGATCTGACTATTATGCATTTGTTAATCCCGGCCGACCTACGATATTGATCGACTCGATTATATTGTACGCGATTAGTATTTGATCGACATATACTTTGTCCGAATTCGGTATAAATACAAACTGATAATCTATATAATTTAACGGACAAATTATTCAACGTAGCGCA